TAATGGTACAAGATCCCAATGATGAATGTAACTGTATTTTATACCGAAAATGTACCAATAAACTTAATGGGGGGGGAAATAAAAATAAAAAGAAATTTCACTTGTAAAAAATCTTTCCGTGAGTGTAACTTTAATTATTCAAGGTGTATATTACTTCTTCAAAGTGACCTATAGTATCCCGCACACTTCCTTGTCTGTGTGTATGCTTCTACAGATAATTCATGTATGCTTCTAGACTTTTAGATGGATGTCAAATGACTTGTGATAGTTCCTATGGATTCTTGATTTTTGCCTCTGTAAAGTAATACAAAATGTGACCCTGTTTCTTAGTTGCAATTTATTCTGTTGTTTGGATTCTATTAGATTACCATTCAATTTAATAAGCTGTTATGAACCAAATTTAAAATTATCTTTAATCTGGCCTTCCAAATTAGATTTTTAAAAGCTTTAATTAATCATAGAATTTCATTATTTGAAGCCAGGAAGAAGAGATAAGAATCTAGTTCCTGAAGACAAAATGGATTCATTTTGTAGATAAGAGCTTATTTACTTCATTTGCCTTCCCATAGAAATTTATGTATATTTTTTTCTCTTGAGAAGTGCTGTTTCTTAAAGGAATAATTAAGCGTTCAGTATAAAATAGTTCTCTGTAGCTACTGGCTGGTCCTTATTATTCCTATTCCTCATCTTTTAAACTAAAAGGGATAGTTTACCACTTACCCATCCAATTATTTAAATACAAGATGACCAAAAATTGCATATTTTTGAGCTGGGGATTTGGCTCAGTGATGCCACCACCTGCCTCACAAGCGCAAGGTCCCGAGTTTGATCCCCTGTTCCCCCCCCCATTGCATTTTTTTGGTTAATTTTCATAAGATAACAGGAAATGTAAAAATGACAATTTTATCAGATTTATTCAATACAAGAATTGACTGGTTGAAATGACATCTGCCTGGCTGAGCGACATTCACAATAGTATGTAAACAAACCTGCTGCCTGAGTGACACTGGGGTAAACTGTTGAGTGGTTAAATAAAAGGAGTATGTGGATTCAAACAGTGTACTCTTTAGCAACTGGTTTCTCTCATTCAGCATTATATTTTTTAGATTTCTCATGTACATATCAGCAGGTCATTCTTTTTTTATTCATCATGTGTTGATGGATATCTGAATTGTTTCTAGTTTGGAGCTGCTGTGCATAGCACTGTAATGAAAATTCATGTGTAGGGTCAGGGATTTAGCTCAGTGGTTCTAGCGCCTGCCTCACAAGCGCAAGGTGCTGAGTTCGATCCCCGGTACCAAAAAAAAAAATTCATGTGTAAAACTGTATGGACTTAGATTTGCAGTTGTCATGAGTAAACACTTGGGAGTGGATTTGTTAGACCATATGTTACTTATTTAACTTTTAAAAAACTACTAAATTGTTTCTTGTGTTTTGCAGACACTTTATAAAACCCAGGTAAAGGAACTTAAAGAAGAACTTGAAGAAAAAAACAGAGAATATTTAAAGAAAATACAGGAACTGCAAAATGAAAGGTGTGTACATTTTGCTTTACACCAAGAATCAGTACTGCAAAGGGCATTCTTTAATGTGAAGCAGTGCCAAGGTGTACATTATTCTGATGGGAGTGGTATAATACATTTTTTTGGCTAATTGAAAGCAAATTAGCCAGGGATGGTGGCACCTATAATCGTAGCACCCAGGAGGCTGAAGCAGGAGGATCACTGTGAGTTCCAGGTCAGCCTTGACTATATAGTAGGTTCAAGACCGGTCTGAACTATGTAGCAAAAAAAGAGAGAAAAAAGCAGACTACGCTGAAATTTACTTCTAGAGTTAATAAATAATGTAAAAACCTAATACTACACAGAGGTTCATCAAATCCTGACAATACATTGTTTTCAAGGGCTCCCCAACCTTTAAACATTTATTTATTTATTTATTTATTTATTTGGTACTGGGGATTGAACT